TAACCCCGGTCAAAGTTTGACACTTCTCTGGCCATTATCTCCGTAACCGTTCAACTTTGGACATAGGTGTTTTGGGTTATATCGGCATACTTTAACATAAGGAACACCCTCCCGAAGTTTGGTCCATTCCTCCTGGGACACCCTGTATATGTCTAGTGCCAATCACAGTGGCTGCATGGTCTAAGACATGAACCGTCTTCACCCACTCGAGCACTGGGATCGTGAGTTCCAATCCCACTTTAGGCATGGATGTCTTTGTGTGTTTATTCTGTTTATGCTGTTCTGTGTGTAGATAGCAGCCTTGCAATGGGCTGATCTCCAATCCAAGGAGTCATACCAACTGTGTATAGGATTAAAAAACTGAAAAAGCGGCCCAAGGTCCACAAGGTCTGTAGAGCCATAGTTCCCCATACATTTTCATGCTTTGGTGCTTGCTTAAGCATACAGACAACTTTATCTTACTTGGAAGAGATGGGTACAAACCTGTGAGGGTTGGAGCGCACAATGGAAATCAGCGTAGGTTTGTCAAAAGCAGGAAGTTTCAATGAAGGAATGACCTTGCCAGTCCACAAATTGTAGAAATCAACACAGCCGGAGATGGTGCCCCATGCAGCAAACAAGTCTGGATGTGCCAGGCTCCATTCCAGACCCACCACACCTCCCTCCACATAGATGATCTGGACCGGAGTTACCTACAAAATACTGATGGTCAGTACCGGATACATAATTATATAGTATTAAAGCAATAATCTTTACACTGAATTTAAAATTTTGGATTACTGAGTTCATAAAAGATTTTCCATCATCTAGTAACCTGAAAGGACACAATATTTTAGAAAGAAAATATTTATTCCCATCCTCAAGTTAAAGGCTGGAGAATGACCTGCTGAATTGAGTCCAATAGAAAGTGGTAATTCAAAGACAGCAAATCAGTCATGAAGGATTTGAGTTCGTGTAGCAATGGTTATGAAAAGTTATATCTTTTGGGATATAATGCTGTGTAATCCGTTCAAAGTCAACCAACGTTTTGGAGTACCATGTCACCTCCATTTTCAGTGTCGAATATGCCAAGCAAGAAACCAGCATGATGCAGGTAGCAAGAAGAGCTGTGCTTGTTGCCTGCTTCACACTAGTTATACAATATTACATCTCAGAAGATAGAACTCCAGACCTCTTTCTAATGGGCCCAACTAAGTAGGTTTCTCCCTGCCATTTCTCCTGAGGGTGGCAACAGATCCAGTTCACAGAACGTGTTCTTTTGTGACACTAGAAGATGGACAAAGTCCAGAAACTTAGTAGTTCTGAGTGTAATACTCATTGTGAGAACCCTTAGAATTGGCTTAAATTTAAAGTTAGTGACGACTGTAGAAGGAAATATTTAAGGCTATTCTCTTGTACTTTATCCATTGTCATATTTACATTCATATTAGAGTGATGTTTCAGAAACGACTGCGATTTCCATCTTCAGGTGAACAGAATGTGATGATAGCTCTACCTTGGAAATCAACAGACTAGGAACTATTTTCATTTTATGTCCATCAGAAGAAGGAAATAGAACCCATTTCTGAAATGTGGTTCTTATAAGTAAAAAATTCCTTTTCATGCTTGCATGTATGTATGTATATATGTATGTTAGGGGTGAGCCATAAAAACCAGCCCCCGCACTGTGATCATTAATGATCTATTGTGCTTCCCCTCGGATTAGCCCTTTATTAATCCTACATTTTTAATAAAGTGTAGGATCCTGCTTATGGGGGTGGCATAAAAGCCACTTGGTTCCATAAAAACTGACCCAGGTGACAAAATCTTAAATAAGCTATGGCCTCACAATGACACAGGATGTGTGTGGCTGATTCGTCTTCTTGTAGGCACCTTTCACAAGTTGGGTTATCTGTCAGTCCCAGTTTGGAAAGGTGCCCTTTTAGGTGGCAGTGTCCAGTAAGTAATCCTACCACCCATCTTAGTTCATCTCTGTTTAATCTCAACAGGTCCTTCGTTCTTCTGGCAGAGGGTCCTGCTATAAAACCCTTTGCCTGTTTGAGTCCAACTGTGGATTCCCAGTATTTTTTTGTGATTTCTGTTAGTCCAGTCCCTGATTACTTTCTTGGCAACTCCAATTGAAATGCCGCAAGCTGGTTCAGGTCCAATGAACGGCTGTTCAGACCCTGTTCTTGCCAGCTGATCTGCGGTTTCATTCCCTGCAATACTCTCCTACTGAGATGCCGCAAGCTGGTTCAGGTCCTGTTCTTGCCAGCTGATCTGCGGTTTCATTCATTGCAATACTCTCCTACTGAGAGGCCACAAGCTGGTTCAGGTCCTATGAATGGCTGTTCAGATCCTGTTCTTGCCAGCTGATCTGCGGAATAGGCTGGAATAGGTTGATAGGCTGGAATAATTTCAAGTTACCTCCTGCACATGGACTTAGGGAAAAATAATTTTTATACTTGACTTCCTGAAGTTTGTTGAATATGGAAATACGAGTAAACCAATTTCCAAACTATAGTGACTTTAACAAACTTCGATGAAGAACAAAAACAAAGTAAAAAATAATAGTTTTAAACAGTGAAGTTCTTGTATGCTAAAGTGATGTAAATGAGAAAGCATTCAATTGTCAGATTCACTTACTGCTTAAAACGATGTCATATCAGACAGAATCAGTGTTGAAGTTTATTCCCCCATTAATTAATTATGTAATAAATTTAATATGAATTAAATTCATTTTATTCCCATATGGTACATGCATTTTCAGTATGTATGTCTCTTCAGTAACAAACCTGTTCTGTGTGGTAGATACGAATTTCACTGTCAGTCCCACAGGAAATAAACATATTCTTGTGATGCAGTGAGCACTGGATGCATGTGACCGCACCCTGGTGCTTCTCAAATGCATTTAGCACTGGATCCTTCAGGGGCACTTCTGAGTGCACTGAAACTCAAGAATATGATTTGCCATCATTATAATCACATAAAGTGCCAGGTCAGCACACATTGGCCTGCCCATAAAACCCAAAGAACTGCAAGATGGTAAAATAACTTGTTCCTCAATTATCCAGCTCGTAGTCTAGTCACTATACTGACTGAGCTATCCTGGCTCCTCACATTTGGCACCCCCCACTTATTTAATCTTTCTTGTCCCATCAAAAACGGTTATGGGTCAGCAATCCATTGAAAAATCATGACCAGCAGTCTTAGAGATGGTGATTTATCTGTTAGTGCTACTAATCATATTAAGATCTTTTAGAACCCTAAATTGCATCCCCTGAAAATGCAATGTTCTTCTGATACTTCTTAATACTTTATTACTACCATGTATTTTAGAATACAAGATGCATGTTTGTTCCCGGAAAAGAAAGGTGAAAAGTAAAGTCATTTTTTGTGCTTAATTAAGCATCATACCATGAAGACATGGGAAGTGGAGGTATAGCTCCACACATTAACTTGGCACTAGATGGACATGAGTGATCAACTTCAATCTCCAGCTACTTGAAACTCAGAGAAGAGCCCTCAGTATTCAGTGGATAGGAGGCAGGGGAGTTGCAGACCTAATATGAACATTGAAGAAAAGAAAATCTCTTTCCCTTGCCAGGAATTGAACACCAATTCATCAGATGTCCAGTCTGTAACCCAGTCGCTATAACTGAATTATCCCTCTTTTATTTCGTGGAAAATACTGCCTAAAATGTGTATACATCTTACTGTGATGATAAAATGGGCGTTTTCCTAAAATTCTGGGGTTTAATATTCCTAAAGGTACCATATGCCTCTCTCTGATGTCAACAGAACTCAAACAACCTGGTGCAGGTTTGGCTGCAACGGTGGAACACAGCAATAGGCCACCACCATCCACCCCAACCACGAACGTAGTCAAGTCTTGCGCAGTGAAACTGAAACATGTGACACCCAGTTCCATGTCAATACCAGCACCACCTACTGGTGAAGGCACTGATTTTCCTGGACCTGTGTACTTTATGTGTTCCAGCAGGATGACAAACCTAACCAAAAAAAGAATATTGTTAGCTGTGACATAACTAATTAAATTTACATTCCCCACATACTGACTTCTGAAAGCAGTCATGACATAGCCTTGTTGGCATAGATATTCTGAAGTTCATGTTATTTATGTTTTAATAATGTAGAAGGAAGGGAGGGGTCATGACCTAATTTTAGGCACTATCCCAACATTTCCTGGGAAATCCTCATTCAAGATAGCTGAATCCCAGATTTGAACCAGACGTGAGTCAGAATCTCTATGAATTAACTAGTTTGATGTAAATATGTAAAATGTCAACACAGGTTGAAATCTCAGTCTGGAGACCAACCAGCCTGCTTCAGGCTTCCTGTGAATTCCCTCAGCCCCTCAAAGAAAAATGCTGGGATAGTACCTCAAATTAGGCTATGACTTTCCTTCCATGTCCTTTCCAATTTGTTATGGACTGTCATCTAATTATTCAATGCTATATACTCTGAGTAACTGACAGCATTGTGAAATAAATTACAAATAAATAAATAAAATACTAGCAAAGATGCACAACACCAACGCACATACATTCATGAACTGGCTAGCATTCAAACTGATGATCAAATGCAATCAGATCAAATGTGTAATTGTCTGAAAAATACTATCTTCTGGGATGTGATGATATATATAGTCTGGTGGAAATTTACTGATGTTTCAGAAGGATGAAATGCCTTAGTCTTCAGGGATGAAGAGTAAGCCAAGCAATCAGAGCTCTGCAGAAGTCAGTATTCCTCATAGTCACCGCTATGAGGATCTCACATCTTGCAACTAACAGTTTCAGGAATATGTCAAATTTAGAGAATATAGAAAGCCAAACAATTTTGCTTAGCATTTTCCGTCCATACCGAATCAAAGATAAATACAAAAAATAAAAGGAGCACTACAAAAAATTAACAGCTACATCATTTTCATTAATTATTTTTAATCATAAACTATAAAAAAAAATTGTACATATGTTTCTTACCCTTCACGCAGCTGGATGGTTCCTGAGTGAGTACCTATCTGCCACACCAGCACACGACCATCATGACCTGCCGAAACAAGTACAGGCCACTGCTGAGTAGGGTCCAGGTTGCGAACCCAGGACACTTGGCTCACAGCATCTCTGTGAGCACCAGGCACATTGGCAGAGGAACTGATCAGACAATCATCATCTTTTTGTAGATTCCATATTAGAACCTCTCCTGCAATTGTATCAAAGGTATTCAAATTTTAAATTGTCCCATTTCTTCCTCTGATGTGAGCTTTATCATTGTCATTAGACAATTTCAGGTCACCATAACAACAGACTTTAAGTGTCAATACACTGCATGAATGGAAGTTATGTAGTAGGTCATAAACATGGGAGAAGTCCCTTGTTTCAGTGTATCATGTCTATTCCACTTGAATTTATTGGTCTGTATGTATATAAATATTGTTGTGGGGGTGTATACATACACGTCTACCTCTCAATATTTTTAAACTCCTATCCCCCCATATCAGCTTAAGGATTCTTTACGAGCCACCCAGCCCATACCAATGGCTGAGAACTAGTAGGAACCCACAAGATGCTTGGAGAAAAACTTTAAGATTTGTTGAGAAGTTTGACAGTCTGTGAGTGAAGAAGAAGCATACAACAGTCACAAGTGTTAAAAGATAAAGGTAAAGTTGTCCCTGTGCTTAACTAATTAAGTACTACACCATGAAGGCATATGGGGGGAGTGGATGTATAGATCCACATTTTCTTGACCTCGGCACTAGCTGGAGGTGAGCGGTCAGCTTCACGCCACAGCCGCTTTACCCTCAAGGAAAGAGCCCCCAGTACCCATTGGATAAGAGGTTGGGTGAACCCCAGAGCCGATCTGGATGACATGGAGAAGAGAAAATACTGGGCCCTACCAGGACTCGAACTCCATCCTCTCGGTCATCCAGCCCATACCCAGTCCCTATACCAACTGCACTATCCCAGCTACCCAGTTACATGTGGAATGCTGTGAATTACAAGTCAATTCAGTGCAAGAAAGAGGAGGGGGAGACAGAGTGAAGCAATGGTGGACTAGACATGCCAACAGTGAGACTGTGACTGTTCCAAAACATGATAAACATTATACTTCTTTTGGCTTATTTTGGACTTCACCCATCGTCTGGTACGTAAAAGACAAAAAACCACGACGTTTCGGAGACAGATCCAGTCTCCGAAACGTCGTGGTTTTTTGTCTTTCAAAGGGCCCCAACTGAGTAGGTTTATCCTTCCCTATCCACCTGAAGATGGAGACAGATCCAGTCTCCGAAACGTCGTGGTTTTTTGTCTTTTACATACCAGACGATGGGTGAAGTCCAAAATAAGGCACAAGAAGTACAGTATACACCATCGTCAGAATCCTTTCAAATCTATGATAAACATTATTTAGTTAATTGATGAATTAATGTTTAATTGAAGGTTTATATTATGTAAGAGCTTAGGTATGTTTGTGAGCTTATCTGAATGAATACAGCACTAAAAATGCTTGAGCTTTGATATTCACTTTATTTATAGTTCCTTCTCTCAAACAGGCCTGTCATATGTCCATACGTACAGAACAGAAGTAACATCTATTACACACCACTAAATGTTCCTGCTGCTAAGATGGAAGGTTCGTAGGGATGAGCACTTAGGCTTGTGACACATGACCTGGTCTCCAGTGTCTTGCTTGGTGCTGAATCTGAGAAGTCCTGCCTGCACAAATACACCATTATGTGACATTACTGCTTTACCAAGAAAAATCAGGTGCAGTACCTCCTTGATCCAAGTCAAATTTTGGACAAAGCCATATTAATATACTCAGATTTGCACATTTCTCCTATCTCCACACTTACAATTAACAGTCTTGTGGAAACAATGTTATTTAACTAACGAATTATATTATTGTCAGATTTGAGGTTCTCAAGGCAATAACTATGAAGAGTATTGTCTTCTGGGATGTGACATCATGTAGTCCAGTAGATGTTCACCACTCTGATTGCCTGGCTTACTCTTCAATCCCGAAGATGGAGGCAGTACGTTCCTCCAAAACATCATTGAATTTCTAGAAACTAACTGTATTGCATATCATCTGTGTTCTTGAGGGCAACTTCATTGCTTTACCTGTTAATGTTAAACAGATGAACATTGCCTGAGTGATCACACCAGCTCTCATGTTCCGAATGGCTGCAAGCAAATGCTACCACAGCACCAGTGCAACTCCAGGACAAACTGCTTACTTTCATCTGTAACAGATTCAGTCTCTTTGCGGAACAAAGCATAACATTATTACGTAACAGACTTTCTAGTTCAAACCCAGAAAGAACTCTACAATGGTAGTTCAAAGTTAACATATAACATCAAAACATGGACCATTACAAAGAGAAACATAAGCAAAATTCAAGAAACTGACATCAAATTTTTAAGTTATTACTGAAGAAAAACAAGAAGGGATAAAATTATGAATGGTTTGGGGATGCTGGAATTATATAATTTCTTGATAGAGTCAGATACAAAATAATTATAATACTTTGACTGTTTAAGAAGAGTGACTAGAACAAGGATCCTGTGGAAAGTATTAGAATAAAAATTTAAAGGGATGAGTCTTATGGGATGACATAGAACAGATGGTTCAGCCAGGTGTTTGAATTCAGCAAGAAAGAAGAAAGATCTGACAGACTGAAAAGGAAAGACTGTGGGAAGAAAAGTGATTCGAGGCATCATGTCCATCAATCCATTTAAAACAAACTGTATCAAAAGAAGAAAAAAGAATCAGAAGAGGGAGAGGAGGAGGTTGTGGTGGTAGAAGTAGCAGCAGTGGTAATGAAGGGTATTTGAATGATGAGCAGAAAAGGAAAGTGGTGGAAGCAGCAGTCCTTCCCATCATTCAAATATCCTTCATTATCTCATATACCTTATTATGAGTCAGGAGGAGGGGGGGTCATCTAAATTACAGAAATAAACATCACACATGTCAATACCTTACTCTGGGAAGTGATGTTGGGTACTTGTAGGGTATGCAGCTTCCTGACGCCACCATCAGCGTCATCTTCTATTGGCTCGTATCCATCAAATGCTCGGCTTCTGCTCATCTTGTCAAGCTCTGTTATCACTTTAGGGCAGATACAACTGAGGAAAGCAGCTAGTTTGTCATAATCTACATTTTCAGCCATCATCAGTTCTGGTTGTACATTGTCTGTCTGTGTCTGGAACCAGTAAATATAAACATATACAGTAAAGCCTTGGGAGCATGCAGTAGCATAGTTGGCTGAGTCCCAATGAGGTGGATTGTTTTCAATTTACCTAATCCTTCAAGCTGCACTATGGCCCTGGGGTCAACTCAGCCTCTAGCAGAAATGAGTACCACGAATCTTCCTGGGGGGTAAAGGACAGCCAGCACGTAAGGCTGACAAACTTACCACCATCTGTGGGCCAACTGTGTAGAAGATGTGGGGGTCACAATGTCTCACAACCCTATGGACCTCCACAGTCTCTTACAGGGATAGCTTTACCTAAGAGTAAACCCTCATCCAGTGGCACATCAGGTAAATCTGTGTTAGAAAGACTTTAAGGGTGGAATATGAATGTAGCAACATAAAGTCTCAGTCATACCTAGGTACAGGGAGGGGGAAATTGCATTAATCAAACATGTCAATCACACAATATTCTATTCCCGCTTCTCACCTCTCTCAGCCTAAATTACTCTTGTGCATTAGAGTCAAATCATATTTTTCAGATATGCATATAGTGACGTGTACCTGTACATAGATGTTTTGGACTAAAAATGGTAAACTGCAAGCATTATGACATATACACATGACAAATAAAAATATATTAAACATGTTTTATTGTAATTTAAATACATGTGAATTATAATAAAGCCTTCTGTCTATGCATTTGGAAGCAGAATGCCTATTTGTTTGAGAGTGATGGATCAGACTGCAGACATTCAAATTTTTCATGTTTTGCAGCCAGTTGTTCACAGTTTATATGTTATGGCATACGAGAACATGGTACTGTTTTCTGCACTCTCTTAATATAAGATTAATATAACATTCTACTGCATTTGATTGTACAAAGAATTAATTACTAAACTCAGTGAAAGAGTAATTAAATTCTGATACCTCAACACATTTGGAGACTGAGGACTGTGATTCCTGTTCACTGTATGAAGTGACTGTTGTCTGAATTCCTTCATCCTGTAGTTCCCTAAAATACACAGTTTGGTAAGTTGTGGCACTGGATTTAGGACTTGCTCAACTATAGGTACAAATTCATATTTCCATAAATGATCAAACAACGTAAATATTACAGTCTTTGTGTTGGAATTTGAGGTTCTAATGAAGTGATTATGAAGATTACTGTCTTATCAGTTATAACCTTGTGTAGTCCAGTTAACAGCGTTTCAGGAGATCATTACATACAACAATTTATTTGAAGAAGCATTTTATTTCAATGTAACATATCGAAACCATTAAAATACAAGGGCATTAGGTGTTAGAAGGCAGCTTTTTGTCCGAGAAAAGGCACTGAAAACGGTTGGACACCTGTGTATCCAACAAAGATGCAATCCATAACCTATAATTCGCAGAAGTGACGAACGCAGAAACTGTACCTCTCTGTTTTCCAACATGATGGAAACCCAACGGCGTCAAAGGATTCATCAGAAAACATGTTTCGCCCATTAAATATATTCCGTCTTTCGGTAGTCACAGCAAACACATCTGTCCAAATTGCTATTCTAAATAAACACCAACGTCTGTAAGTATTTGTGACGTTTGTTTTGTCGTGTTGTCATAGCAACAGTAATTGCTTTATTTACATAGGTGGCTCTGATTTCATTTCGACATAAGTCGTTCTGCAGCTTCTGCAGCCTCTGCAGGCCATGAAAAGCAGTAAAGAGCGGTAAGGAGTATTATCTGTAAGTAACGAACAGTCCCGCTAACAGTCGTATTTGTTGGGAAATGTTGGACGGTGTGTGCCTGTGGTGTATGTGGTCTGTTCTGGTCAGCGAGAATAGTCCTTACAGTAGTAGGTTATGGTGTTCGTCATTTATTGTAATTTTATAGAAATGGTGTGTATTTATTACTCAAGCTATCAAATCATACAGCATAAGGTGCTAAACTTATATATATATATACCAAGATGATTTTTTTTAATGCTAGTGAGGTTGGACTAAGTCCCTTGTACTGCGGCCACTTCTGCCCTAATATACCAGCCCCAGATGATAGGTGAGGGTGATTGTGGAGCAATTGGTGGAATGAAGATTGGCAGGGGAAACCGAAGTACTCGGAGAAAACTCGCCCCAGCGCCACTTTGTCCACCACAAATCCCACTTGATCGAACCGGGCCGCCAAGGTGGGGAGCCGGTGACTAACCGCTTGAGCTATGGCGCAGCCCTCATATACCAAGATACAAAAATGTAAAGTGCATTGATATGCCCGTTTTAAGTACTCGTGAATACTTTTGGAAATTGGAGGTAGAGGCCCACATGTTCCTAATCTCGACGCTAGATGGGGGAGAATAGTCAGCTTCACATCTCTGCTGCTTTCCTCCCAGGAAAATGACCCACATAGAAGACTGGGTATGCTTCAGAGCGAACCTGAATACTGTGAATAGGAGAAAAATCATTTACACCTGTTGGGAATCAACCCCCCTATTCCAGGGTCATCCACCCCTAAATCACTATACCAAATAAGCCAGTGGTTCTCAAACTTTTTACCTCTGAGCCCCCCCTGACAAGAGAAAATACTATCAGGCCCCCAGCCTGTTCTTTTTTATCAAAATAGAAGTCATCGTATGTTTGAAGTTTTATTCAGTTTATTTTGTGTTTTTCTACATACTATTTATCAGTTTTTTACTCAAAATTAAAGTATCACAATATTAGGTCTACAATAAAAGTTAGTTTTAACACTTGCAATTAACCAAAATATGTATTGAAATTAAACGATATTTAACTAAGAAGTATTTAATTTTTTTTTCTGCAAAGAAAATCAAACATTTAAATGTCAAAGTTCAGTGTGATGGATGGGCCTGGTTTTGATAACAAAGTTTATCAAAACGTGGTGTAATATCAGAAATGGCCACTCTAACTTCTTTAGCAATATTTAGCAGTCAACGATACTTTGACTTTATAGCTGCCAAAGCAGAAAAGTCTGTCTCGCATAAGTAAGTTGTTGCGAAAGGAATCAGGATCTTCAGTGCTTTTTGGCTCAAAGTTGGGAATTCCTTGCCAATATGTATCCAGAACTCCAACAAAGACAATTCCTTAAATTTACTTTTTAATGAAGTATCGCTAGTGAGATCGATGAGTTGTTCTTGCTCATTTACATTCAGAGATGATGGCCCAGGAGCAAATGGATTTTTAATCTAATTAAATTCATCAAAATCATTGCAAAAGTATTTCTTGAAATGAACTTTCAGCATTATGAGATGATCAAGTAGGCAGCTTTTTATGTCCATTGGAAGCACTGGATTATCAGTGTCTTGTACCATTGACACCAGAGTAGGGAACATGTCTAGTCTGTCACTTTCCATACTGTTTCTCCAGAGATCTAATTTTCTCATGAATGCCTTCACTTTGTCATTCCAAGAAAGTACATTTGCCTCATTCCCTTGAAGTGAAGTGTTGAGGATATTTAGTTTCTCAAATATATCTGTGAGGTAAGCCATTTTCAATAAAAAATCCTTGTTGCTGAAACTGTCTGCCAGTGGGTGATTTTCTCCATTTAAAAAACAGAACACCTCATGCCTCAGCTCAAGCATTCTCTTTAATACCTTGCCTCTTGAAAGCCATCGAGTATCACTAAAAAAGCAACAGAGCAGTGTGTTCGGCACTCATTTCCTCAAACAGCATTTTTAAAAGTCTAGACTTCAGAGGATTTGTCTTGATAACATTGATGGTTTTTGCAACTGTCTGCAGTNTGTTGCTGAAACTGTCTGCCAGTGGGTGATTTTCTCCATTTAAAAAACAGAACACCTCATGCCTCAGCTCAAGCATTCTCTTTAATACCTTGCCTCTTGAAAGCCATCGAGTATCACTAAAAAAGCAACAGAGCAGTGTGTTCGGCACTCATTTCCTCAAACAGCATTTTTAAAAGTCTAGACTTCAGAGGATTTGTCTTGATAACATTGATGGTTTTTGCAACTGTCTGCAGTGCTTCATGAAGGGGTAGGCTGAGTTCTTCAGCTGCCAGAGCCTCCCGATGTATCATACAGTGAGTCCATACTGCTTTGGGAACAACAGCTTTAATTTTTGCTTGTAATCCAGCATGGACTCCAGACATTGAACGAGCTCCATCTGTACACATGCCAGTGCACTTATCCCATGATATCCCATTTTCATTAAAGAAAGCATTAATCATGTTGAAACGGCTTTGAACTGTTGCTGTTTTCAAGATAGGCTCACAGAAAAACAATTCCTCTCACATATTACACTCATCAACAAAATGAACGTACACAATCAAATGAGCATCTTTATGAATATCAGTCGCTCCGTCCACTTGAAGTGCAAAGCACTTGTTAAGCAACTTCTCAATTAATTGCTGACGTAAATCATTAGACATGTCTGAAATTCTTTNTTATCCCATGATATCCCATTTTCATTAAAGAAAGCATTAATCATGTTGAAACGGCTTTGAACTGTTGCTGTTTTCAAGATAGGCTCACAGAAAAACAATTCCTCTCACATATTACACTCATCAACAAAATGAACGTACACAATCAAATGAGCATCTTTATGAATATCAGTCGCTCCGTCCACTTGAAGTGCAAAGCACTTGTTAAGCAACTTCTCAATTAATTGCTGACGTAAATCATTAGACATGTCTGAAATTCTTTTACAAACTGTGTCATTAGAGAGGGGGATATTTTTCAATTGTTGAGCAGAAGAGTCACCCAACATTGTTGATACTATGTCAATCACTGCTGGTAAAATCAGTGTTTCTGCAATTGTGTGTGGTTTCTTGCATTTAACAATCCTATGAGAAACCTGGAAAGAGGCTAAAAGGACCTTAGAAGTCACATTTGTTGTTTTAGCAAATTTCTGTTGGGTGGACTTTAAACCACTAAGCTTTCTGACAAAAAATCTTTTGGTTTATTTGTAAACTTCGGATGTTTGGTTTCAAGATGTCTCTTTAATTTATTAGGTTTCATACTATCTGCAGCTAAAATACTTAGACATTGCCGACGTTCTTCATCATTGATCACAGTTTTCGTAAAGCCTAGTGATAAATAGTTCTCATCCTACCTTCTCGTTTTCACACTCTGAGTAGCTTCTTTCCCACCACTAGTTGAAGGAGCACTGGTGTCTTCATTTCTATCACTAATCAGGAAACGCTTCATGATCAGTTGTTCATAATCAAGTCAACTTCAAGAGGTAAACAAATCAGCACAACTGCACTGAAACGTTGAATGCATAAGAACACAACATCAAACAGGCATACCCATCAATCACCATTGAGTCTGGCGACAAACTACCTGCTCCCTGCCCAACAGGCGCCAATGAGATGACATTAGTCGCTGCTTTCAGCTGCCCGTTTACAGTGCTACCTGGAAGAGGATGCAGCTGCTGCCGAACTATCAACGCTGTCTCTGGCATACGCATTTTATAATTGCCTGTAAAGAGAATAATTATTAGTTATTTTGAAATTCATGGTTAATTTGTATCTGTAGGAAAGTATGCTGCACCCCCCTTTCAAGCCCGTCGCGCCCCACAGCTTGAGAACCACTGAAATAAGCTATTCTGGCTTTCACTGTGTTAATAGTAATTTTAATAGTTTGTGAAAAGTTATTGTGTAGGCCCATGACATGATCGGAGGGTGACTGAAACATATTGCCAAAAAGAGTATGGTGTGTGTGACTCCCACGAATGACACCTGCAAATAGTTACTTATAAACCACCTTATCTGTATAGTATACTACAGTACACATTGACATCAGAATGTTATAAATACTTCCAGAATGGACATAATGCACTAAAACAAAAGCCTACTTGCTAGCATATTCTAAAGAGTTGTGACGATGGTGTATAATACACAGAATTACTGGGCTTTTGGACTTCGTCCATCATCCAGTATTCTAGAAACTAGAAAACCACTTTTCAGAAACTTGCTAGTTTGTGACCTATTACATAGCCTGTGTTCATGCAATTTGTTAACTCTCCGCGATTCATTGCATGGTAACCTGAAACTGCATAATGATGGTGATAAATGGCATGTATACAGAACTTTCTTATGTGTGTAGAAAGATTTTTCATGTTCTCTTTCCAATCCTGAAAGTCTGACATCTGTTACTTTTTGATGGCAGGGAGACAGTGGGATGAGCTGCTGCCCCTGATCTCACAGGAACTTCCTGACTTTGATCCAGACAAGGAATTCTGAAAATGTTTATCCCCATACATATCAGCCTTGAGGTCTTCCTATGAGAGTGAGGAGCTGATTTTGAGTATGTTCTTTGGGAATTAAGAATTGGAGGTTTGTATTGTATTTATGACCTTAGTAGCAAATTTTAAATCACGAGAGCCTTTTGTGGACCTGGAGGCTTATTAACACTGGACCATATCCTCAGTCACTTGAAACCACTTCACACCCTCACATTCTGTGTGTTTAGAATCTGTTCCAACCTCATGTGCACCCAAGTGTATTAACCTTTAAGAGACGGCCATTTAAATTCCGGTAGTGGTAGCAGGATGGAGTTAATTTAAATGCCCGCCACTGTAGAGTAATAAAAATTGTAATCATGTTACTCAAAATGCTGTGATTTCTACAATTTTTGTGATAAACGAACGAAATAAACGCTGCTTTTATCTAGAAAGAATATAGAATCAGTTATTGTAATTTACCGATTTTAAAATATCTTAAAATTTTTACACTGATGCCAAAAGAAAATTTCCCTCAATTTCGAACGTCTGTGCACAAAAATGCACACAGTTCCTGCACAAAACGTTTCTGCAGTCTGAATGCCTGCTGCTGACATCATTTTATAGCTATGGCTTACGTGGCAACAGGGGCGGAAGTTTATGCTTGCGTTCCTCATTCTCCAGTTCGTAGCTTCCTTTCGGTATGTGCACGAGTGTGGGCGAAGTCTAATCGTTCGCAGAAACACTGACTGTATTATCTCGTATAGACAAATAAGAAGTAGTCTGTTTTGAAATATAGCCAAGCAGTGTCAGAACGTTCAAGGCTAGCGCTGTGTTTAGCTGTCCACCATGGCCTCGTATTTGGAAGACGCTGAAATTGAGAATCAGCTTACAAATGACACCGATTCAGACTGTTGTACCGATGACTCTGAGAGTTGCAAGGAAGAAAGTGAATCAGAAATTGAAGTCGATGAAGAACCATCATCTTCGTCGGCAACCTGGGGACCACCACACCAGCGTGGCAAGAGGAGTGTGAATAATTATTCAGGTGGAGCTGTGGGCAAACTGTGGCAAACAGTTATAGCATCTGTCGTCGAACCTGGAAATGGACAAATAAACTATTTTTCCATCTCCTGGATCTGAACAGTTACAGCCTGTTGTCACGCAGAGAATTTCATCTCGCTCTTGTGCGGAACATGCTGGAAGGGGTCCACCTCGCCATCAACGGCCCAGGGGTCGAACCCCTGCCGTTTTATCGGAGATATCTCGATTATAGGAGGCCAAACCACATCACTGGTCGACTTCCTCTACTTCGCAATTGAGGTGTCGTGTGTGCTTTTCGCGTGGAAAACGAAGAACCGTCCGGACAAAGTGCGTGAAGTGCGACGTCGGACACTGGATTTCTGGATGTTTCCAAGATTTCCACACGAAGCCAACAGTCCGTTAGACGACGCAGGTGGTAAGAGAGACAACTTATAAAGCTGGTGACCAAGAATCATGTAAGTAGAAAAAGAATTTATAACTTAAAATTAGATTTTAAAAAGCCGGCTGCACGCGTGGACTGCGCGACGACATATGGCGTCATTCGTCCCCTTGACTTTATTTTCATGACGCCATATGGAGTCGCTCGGCTCTTAAAGGTTAATGTATTATGGCTACAAGGTTTAGATTTCTTACAGTGGAAAAATTTGCTACCCTAACTCAGTGGCTTTTGTGGTGTTTCACAACATGCTTTTTTTCCCCCCCAGTGAGAGAATGCAAAAAGAATTACAAATGACATTAGGTGGATTGAAATTTACAACTGAGAACTGTATACTGATTGAAGAGTACAGTCTTCTGGCTTGTGATGCTGTGTAGTTGGACAGAAGTCCTCCAGTGTTTTGGAGGAATGCTTTGCCTCTGTCTTCAGCAGGTTTCTTGTTTGGTTTACTGTTGAACCTTGAATATGGAGGCAGTAGCTTTCTCTGAAATGTCAAACTTTTACTGAACTATACAGCTTTAGAAAGGGGCACACAGTAACATTGTTGATACACTATGCTACAAGCCTGGAATTGGCAGGTTTGACTCCCTATGAGGTAGATTTTTTCAACTAACCTAATCCTTCCATCTGCAATATGGCCCTGAGGTTGACTCAGCCTTTAACAGAAATGAGAACTAGGAATCTTCCTGGGGTGTAAAGGGCGGCAGGCACATAAGGCTGACAACCTTACTGCCATGTGTGAACCGATTGTCTAGAAGATGTGTGATCCTTGATGCCTCACAACCCTATGGGCCTCCACGGCCTATTACAGGGCATGGCTTTACAGCTTTAGAACCCACATCACATAATTATTACTCTGAGAATCAAGTTCAGTGGTGTGTGACATGATGCCTAAAATACAGAATCTTAGAATCACAGAAATATCACAGAGGCATCTGTTACTAGGCAGCATCACTGCAAAATGCATATCCCAAGCAACAGACATGCCCACAACAAATGAAGTACTATTGAACTCACTGTTGCATAGTTGGTCCACAACAAGGTGATATAAGGAAAATCTGGATGTACGAGTAACAACAGAATGCCAAAAGGGGAATCCATGATGATAACCTACAACCTAACAGTGGAACCTGTGAGGACAGAATATCAGAAGAATGAAGCAAGAATGATCTAATGGACAGTCATTGATTGTGACTATTTGAAACAGTTGTAGATATGGACATTCAGTGTCAAATAAAATGCATTTTCAGCCCAAACATATTTTGTAGTCACTGTCATGAGACAGTAGATATAGATAGAGTATACTGAACAAAATCATTCCATGCATTGAAGGCATTGAAGGTAAAAGATTACTGTAAGTGGCCAAACCTTTGAATCTTCCAGTTATTTAGTGAGATATGCAGATTTATTGATATTTTGTCTGCTGAATGGTTGTGTTACTCCATCTCAGTGGCAGAACTTACTGACATACACATATTAATAGTAAGAGTCTTGAAAACAAACAGATTTGAGGAACTATTATAGGCATTCTTTGCACAAAGTGCATAAATTGAAATACAAATATTGCAGAAATCATATCTGTCTATCCATCAATATCTGTGTTTGAATGTGTTGTTTAAAAATCTAGTCAGTTGATTTCAGTTAAATTTGCAGTGAGGATCTTTACTATCAATCACTGAACAATATGTAAGATTCGAGGTTTTCACGGCAGGGACTATGAAGAATGCCGTCTCCTGGGATGTGGCACTGTGTAGATCTTGTGTAAACCAACGTTTTGGAGGAATGTATCACCTCCATCTTCAGGGTTGGAGGCTGGTTCCTCGCTCACGGATTTTTCTACCCTGAAGATGGAGGTGATATGTTCCTCCGAAACATCAGTTTACACAAGATCTACACAGTGCCACATCCCAGAAGAAAGCATACTTCAATCATTGAAGAAGTTTCTTTTATATCTCTGTTTGTCCTTTTTATGGTTTAATTTACAATACTGTCAGTGTGTAGACTATATAGTGTCAAATGGTGGGACAGTTGATGATTTGGAAAGGAGCAGTTATGTCCAAATCAAGGTATCTGAATACATGTCTAGAGAGTTACTGCTATGCCACACTTCTCAGTATACATATATTGGTCCTGTGTGATTCCTGCTTTACACAAAACTTGTCACAGTAATATAATCTTATTTCCAAGGCTGAATTTGTGCCGAAGTTGAATTTACTGGAACATAGAAGTGATCATTGGAAGGTAAAGGGAGTGTTGTACAAATGATTCTTGTTAACATGTTGGGCATAGATTTACTTACACTGATGCATTTTAATGATGGTATGCCAGTATCAGACTGAGTGGTTTCTATGTGAGGTTTGAGATCAAGGTGTCTCCTGTAAATGACTATAAAGGTTACTGTGTTCTGGGATGTGACACTGTCTAGTATGGTAGATAATTGCTGTTGTTTCAAAGGAATCTCCTGCCTCCATCTTCAGTGTAGAATAATGCTTTGAAGATGGAAGCAGCAACTTCCAGACTACACAGCAACACATTTCAGAAAACAACAATCTGGGTTGTTTCAATTTTTACCCCAGATCATAGTAGAAGTCTAGAGTACTTTTATTTTGGTCTTGTAATCGATTCTTATCTGTTCTTTTAGCAATGGTTATGAAGAGTACAGTCATCTGGGTTGTAACACTGCAGATCAGACAAAGCCTGACATTTGGAAAGAATGTTATAACCTCCATTTTCATTTACAAAGACAAAACAATTCCATCCAGTGTGACTATTTAAGTTTTACTTCTTGAAAACTTAGCACCCTTACATGTTTCAATCCTTACAGATCATCTTCAGAGGGAACATCAGTACTTATTTGGAAACTTCTCTCACAATAGGTGCCATGAGTGCTAAATTACACACACACACACACACACACACAATGCCTGGAATACACAATATACACAAAATCCAATTTTTTTTTTTTTTCACAATCACAGCAGCTTTCCTGGTATTAAAAGTTTTTAAAACTTTGTTGTTTAAGTTAAAATTTATAAACCAAGTAGGTTCGTGTCACTTCTCCTGTCGTCTTTCTTGAAGGGGGCTGAACTTGTGCCTACCATGTTTCAGCGGTTTTTGATATCATCAAGGACCCATTTAGGGGATTAGGAGATTCATTACTGTGTTCACTAGAGCCACCACTGTTCCTGGTCCTGAGTCAGATCACTCCATATCCACACCATTGTTTCCTGCACCTTTAAGATCTATTCTAATAATATGCTCTCTCATCTCTGCCTACATCTCCCAACTATTCTCTTCCCTACAAGCCTTCTTGCTAAATACCCTGCCCATCTTATCCACCTGCATTTCACAGTTCTCATAGTATTTGGTGCAGAGCAAAAATTATGAGACTCCTCACTGTGCAGTGTTTTCTGGCCTGCTGTTACTTCACCTCTCTTAGTAGCATATATTCTCCTGACCTCCCTGTTCCCAAACAGCCTCAGTCTGTGTTCTACCCTTAATATAATGGATCAGCTTTCATTCTCATAAAGAAAAAGATATAAAACTGTAGTTATGTGTATTTTAATATTTTCATTTTTGTATAACAAATAGGTAGGTAGAAGATTTTTAACTGAGTAGTATCAAGTTATTACAAGAATTCATTCTGTTCTTTGTCTTCATGAAAGAAATTTTAATTTTTTTAAGTTTTCTTTGACTTTCCTAATATAATTTTCTAAAACAAAATTGAAAAGCAATGAGACACCATTTTATCTCTAGTATCTGATATATGCAACCAGTAATTGCTGTTGAAATCCACACTGATGATCCCCAATAAATCTGTCTGCATAAGGAGTTAACTTAGGATAATTTTGTATGTAGCTGATGATATTCTTCTAATGGCTATACTGTTTTATCATGGTTTTTTTTAATACAATAGTGGGTTGCTTACACTGCTATGGTAATTCTTCAGCCTCCAAGACAAAAATAAGGAATGTCATATTTGTCCAAATGTAAGCTCTCCTCAAATAGTATAAGTCACGGTTACAAAATTGTGTGGCCTAGGAATGAAAATGATATTTTATGCACAGCAGTCAGAACACATAAGATCAGCAAGTTTTGCATTTCTCCTGTGGTTATACACATTATTTTAAGTTTTTGATATGGACAAGAGGTTGTAATAACATACAAATTAGGTATGATGCTTTTCCATTGCCCCCCACCCTTACCAACCAGTAATTGATAATGTTGATTCAGATCAAGTGTGCATTGATGTATCATTTAATCAAAGCTAAAGTGTCATGCGTCGGTCATAACAACAAACTATATACCTTTACTGGATCTAGGCTGTTCAATGGCTGAAGCAGTTAGTCTTCGGCTTCCCAAGATGACTGCCCATGTTCGATCCCGGGCCAAGTCACTTTGGGATTTGTGGTGGACAGAGGGGCGCTGCAGCAGGTTTTTGCAAATACATTGATTTCCCCTGCAGATCTCATTTTCATAACAATTATTAATCATCCTATCACTTATACTATATAGTTTCAATAATGATAGTGTTGTTAACTTACTTACTTACTCATGGAGCTGAGCCCTTCTGGAGGAGCTGCCAATTCTGCAGCTACTCAAGAATTTCCCAGCATTTTATGGAACCCAAAGATTCATTACCGTGTTCACAAGAGCCCTCCACTGATCCCTATCCTGAGCCAGATCAATCCAATCAATACCATCCCATTCTCTCTAAAGCAAAGTTGAAAAGGAGTGGCAATAAAGCGTCTCCTTGTTTTAGACCATTTTGGATAGGAAATTTATCAGACAAATGTTTACCTACACGGACTTTACTATACGTTTCGTTTAAACACATTTTAATCAACCTAACTAGTTTCATTGGTATCCCAAACTCTATCGGAATATTGTACAATACTTCCCTCCTTACCGAATCATAGGCTTTCTTGAAGTCTATGAATAGCTGATGTACTGTCCCATTGTACTCCCATTTTTTCTCCAATATATGACGAATAAAAGATCTGATCTGTAGTTGATATGTTATGTCGAAACTCACACTGACGATCCCCAATAATTTCATCTATATATGGACTTAACCTTGAAAGAAGAATATTGGACAAAATTTTATATGAAGTTGATAGCAGTGATATCTACCGATAATTACTACAATCAGTTTTATCACCCTTCTTGTGAACTGGTACAATAATAGACTCCTTCCACTGATCAGGCAGTTTCTCCTTATTCCAAATAGAAGTAATTAGATTGTGGATCTTAGAATGTAATATTTCGCCTCCTGCCAGAATTTGATCACTACCTGGTGATTTATACCGTTTCAATTTTGCAATAGCACTTTCAACCTCAAAAGGGCTAGAATCAGGTACTAACAGCTCATCTGTATGGATTTCTGTCTGCCTAACATCACTGACCCTATGACCCTTAAAGTCATTTATTCCTCTATACAGGTCTCTAATGTTCTTGTTCTTACTGTTCATTGCCAGCTTATCAATTTTGTCTTTCAGATATTCCCTCTTTTTGTTCCTGAACTTCTTGCTGGTTTCACGTCTTATATCATTCAGATTATCCCCATTTAACTCACTTGGATCCTGTAACCATTGTAATTTGGCCTGCTTTCTTTGATCTAATAATTTTGAGCATCCTTCATTGAACCATGGCGTATGCTTCTTTGGTTCATAATAACCTAGACTCTCTTTGGCTGACACTTTTTATTTTCTCTCTAATAGTTTCCCAAGCTTTATTAACATTCACCTCAGTTTCCAAGTTTTCCAAAGCCGCAAACCTATTTGAAATGTCAACACAATACTGCTCTTTACCCTCTACCTCATTTAATTTCTTGAGATTTAACCTCTCCATATGAACTCTTTGCTCAATGCGAGTCTTTCCCTAATCTTTGCCACCACCAGGTAGTGGTCAGTATCACAATCTGCTGCCCTGAATGATCAGACATCAGATATACTTGAGTGCCTTCTCCTATCTATCAATATATGGTCTATTTGATTGTGTATCTTCCCATCAAGAGATGTCCAAGTAAATTTATGGATGTTACAATGTGGGAACATTGTACTTTTACAGTAAGATTTTTTGATGTGGCAAAGTTTACTACTCTAACTCCATTATCATTATTAATTTCATGCAAACTATCACTCCCAATCATTGGTTTGAAAATGTCTTCTCTCCCTACTTTGCCACTGAAATCTCCTAACAAAATTTTCATAAGGTACATTGGGAATTTATCAAATACATGTTCTAGTTCTTCATAGAATCTATCCTTTATGTCATCAATCTTATCTTCCATTGGGCCGTGAACATTTATAATGATATCACACCAGGGACCTTTTAGTATTATATATATATATATGATATCCTATCACTAACGAATTCCACCCTCTTAACTGCTGATACGATTCTCTTATGTACGAAGAAACCTGTACCTAATTCATGATTTTCATTCCCCTTTCCATAGAAAAATGTATAGTCTCCTGCTGGTGCGATGCCACCTCCATCCCATCTGACCTGTACTCCCGCTAAATCTAACTTATATTTTAAGATTTCTTCTGCCATTCCCCAGAGCGAACATGCCCTATACAAACTTCAAACATTCCAAGTGGCAAATCTCATATCCATTTTCTTTAGCTTAGGTCGTTTATCCAAGGAATCCATCCAGGTCCAAGGCTTTGTGTTCATTTTCGTAACATATTTTTTACAGTGAGGAGTTGTTAGCCCCACGCCCAACCCCCAAACTGGAGGGCCACCCCTTGTCGGCTGTCTGCGACTGCTTGTTAAATATATTCACAGCTTCCCTCCAAAACTGGAGGGCGTCTCCTCCATCCTCAACCTGAGGACGCACCATGCTGTGGTCACAAGGGACCCACCTAACATGGGAGTGCTAACTAACAAATTTAAAGAATTACCAGGTTTAGACACTCCAGTGATATTTCTTTTTCTGTAATAATTGCAAACGAGCCACACCCAGATTTTAAAATTGTCAAATCTTGGGGAAAATATTGATTCCATTAGAATTTGAGTAGTGTGTGGTAGTTAAATGTTTTTGTTTAACTTTTTAATGGCAATTTGAACCTCAAAATAACAGACTGTTGTCCTAATGGGTCTTTTTTATGTATTTCAAACTGCCTAACATTAACTTCATGCACATTCAGTACTTGACAAAGTCAGTTCCTCCACATTTTCAAAATACTGTGGGAATCGGCAAAATTATCTTTCACATCCTTTCCCATGTTAGGTTTACTGTAGTTGGGTAACCTTTCCGAAATTTATTTATGCATGTATACAGTTCTCTAATATTTTGGTTCTGTTTATTTCAAGCTCAATATTATCTTCTTTTTTTTTCCCCCTGAAATATCTTCTCTGCATACTTGGCTTCCCCTTCAACCCTGCAGATGGAGGCAGCACATTCCTCTGAAACTGTAATCTACCAGGTTATACAGCATCACATCTGAGGTGACATTACACTTAATGTCAAAGGTATGTTATTTTCAGGCACTTAAATTTCTATCCTTAGCTGGTTATATTGCACATGCATGACATAAAAAGCACAAGTGAAGTTTCCACCATGCTTAATTAATAAAGCACTACACCATGGAGATGAGACCTCCAGACTATTTACCTTCTTGTGGATCTGAAAAGCATTATTATATACTTGCCTATATAAACTCACTTAGCAAAGCACATGCATAAAATGTAATTGCCTAAAAAAGGATCTATAGTGCTAGACAAGAGTATAAATTATGAATTTTTGATGACAAAATCTCAATCCACTCATTTTTATGTGAACACCCCCTCCCCCAATACCGCAGTGCTGTATAGCTTTAGCAGCTGTTATCAGCTTTTAGCCCTGGTGGAACCTCTAGTACCCAGTGGATATGTGGCTGGGTTATGACAGAGTATGCCTGGATGCTATAGAAAAAATATCTTGGCCCTGCCATATTGATTCCCAGTCCTTTGAAACCAGACCATAGTGCAGTCAGCATAGTAACTTGTCTACTGGCTCAGTGGTTTCTCCATTAACATCCCATGCTACATTAATCAGTAAGCATCACAGCACTTACCTTGCCTATAGTATGTCCCACTTTCTCCTGGCCATCACATTGCTGTACAAAAGTGAAAATTTTTGTTTGTACAAGACAAACTTACTCCTTTGTGATACATTTGGTGGGCCCTTAAAAGGGCCCAGAAAGACAGGGAGAAGTAAAAGTTAATGGGAATAAGGAAAAATCATTTTTGAACACAGGAAACTTAGGTTTTTTGTTCATGGAGAAGTACAAGTTAATGGGAATAAGGAAAAATCATTTTTGAACATAGGAAACTTAGGTTTTTTGTTCATAAACATTTTTCTCAGGTAAAATGTAGAAACAAATGTAAAAGGTCATTACTGGTAATAAAATTCTTTGGCAAAGGTTCAAGAATAGTTTGAAAATGAATTTAGATAGAAAAACATGATGAAAAATGAAAAGAAAATTGTTGGAAAAAGGATGAGTACTGAGATCTAGGAAACTTATAAAAACATAGAGGAACATGGGAACATACACAATTTTACAGCATTTGATATCACTTCCTACTAGGCCTAAAAATATTGCACAGAGCAATTTTTTTTTTTGCTGTGGAAGACACAATGATCTAAATTTCTCCTTATTTGTCTCTCCAAGTTTTCTTCATATATATTATATATACAGTTCCAATTTTCTTCTACTGATTTGATGACGTGGGTCAGCAGTGCCCGATGATGGTGGTGGTGATGAAATTTGTACTGGACTGCATCTGTATGTGATGTTGAGACCTCAGGCTTCAATTTTCCAAAGTTAGTGTTTCACTTGGTCCTTTTGGTGTCTGAAAGTTGTCTTGTAAACTTTCGTTGTCAGCAGATGGTTTCAGTAAGAAAGAAACAAACTGAACGTTTATATAATCCAATTAGATGGGAGGGCAAACCCACGTCATGGAATGTTATAAAATTACTCATCAGCAGCAGTCCAGAGGCTGTTCTCATACAGTTCATCTGAACGTCCTCGCATGCGCATGAATCACTCAAATCACTGATATAATAAGCATCTTCTCATCACATATCCTGCACTCCTGATACCTTCGCTCTGTCCCTCTCAAGCACTCCTGATATCTTGTCTCTGTCCCTCTCAATAAGGTCCAATTCCAAATACTACTATTAAATGTCAAGGGCAAGGGATGGGGGAACACATGTCCCATACAGTCCAAGGACATAAATCTACCAATCTTACAACTTTACGGAATGAATTCTGAATGGATTTTAGTTTTTGAGAGGCAGTCGACAAGCATTTGTACCTTGTTATCACATGGAAGGAACTGTAAAACCTGAGTATCGCTACAACAAATGACTCCTCCTAGTCACTGAACAGTAAAAGGGTGGCTCCCCAGAGCATTGAAAACATACCATATACAATTAAAGTTTACAGGCAACTTTCATATCATCACAGACAATTTAAAAAATAGCATGTCTCCTACACAATATTTACATTTTACATGATATAAAATCAATGACCTCTTTGACTAGATACTAATACAAATCTTGGCTCAGTCTCTCAAGGTCATATGGACACAATGAAACACTAACTTATATGAGAATGGGTAGAAATTAGATATCATTACATGACAATAACTACTGTTGAAGTCATTTGCAGAATCTAACACAAATTCTACTGAAGGTGTGATACAGCAGACAATCTACCCACGATTTAAATTCTCGGCATGAGCCACTTTTCACCATTGTGTCTGAATTAAAAACCACTTAACCTACACTTATAGACTATTGAAATCTGATAACAAATATGTATACCACAGCTAAATTATCTGAAGATGGAAATCACATTACAATGAAAGAAATGACTAAAAATTTCAGCACCTAATTGCTTTTCAAGTAGACAGTACTGTTCAGATGACCAATACAATTTTGAATGCCTAATACTTTAACTAGTTTCATTACAACTTGTAAGACTTCCATCTCTGAATAATCCAGCTACTTTACAGAGAAGGTATTCATCATTAAGGTACAATAGTTGATTTTGAATTTTGCAAATCTGAAAACACAAAACCACAGATGAAATGTTTGTTAACTAATTTATGATGTAACTGCCCTATTACTATAATTGCAATCCTTGTTAAGTTATTGCTGCAGACAAACTACAAAGATCACATTCATGTTTACACAAGTGAGCAAAACAATGACCTCTACCTTTGCTATGGGGGAAAGAATTCAATACTTTCTATATTAATTTGCCAATTACAGTATTTGATACAGAAATAGAAACATTTCTTGTTGCAGCTTTTAAAAATTACCATTTTGCTATAACAATACCAAAGATACCTCAACGTTGTTCTGCTCACATATTGTGCAGTAAATAAAAACCTTCCCACATAAAAGGGAAACTACAAAACATTCAGTTTCGCTTCCCATTATACATATTCTAAAATACATGTTAATATCTCTGCATATAGTACACTCTGAAACCACTCTCTAGTGACCTGCAGCAGAAGAGTCAGGCCGAAACATTCAGCAGCATTTTAAGTTGATGTGATATTTCCCTACACTTTTCTGGCCTCTGAGGTGAAATTAAAGAGAATGTGCTCCCAGTCGCCATATACATACAAGATGTCCAGTGAGTAGGAGGCTTGGGCAGTGCAGCAGGAGATGGTGGTTCACTGAACTTGGCACCAGCATAGAAAACTCCAAGTGTCGGGGAAGTTCTTGGGCTCCCTTCCTTGGACGGACTAGCTCTCGGTTTCAGTTTGGGGGAGCCCTGTCTTGTTTTATTTGCTGACAACTGAACTGCAGACTCACATGTCGATCTGGCTTTGTATTTCTCTTCAGTAACCTGTTCTCCATGAGTATCCACTTTTCGATGTTTGCCTCTTGGCGGTGTGACGATACTTTCAAAGTAGGTGAAACTCTTTGATATTCTAGGCCTGACATGGTTCTTATGGCGACTGTTTTTATGGCCATGAGAACCTGGGCTACTGTATGTTTTAGTGTTTTTTTCTATCATTTCTGTCGCATCTGTCATTCGGACTTCAATGGAAATAATCCAGGGCACAGACTTTACCGATCTCACACAAAACTTGAGCGTTTAATAGGCCAACGCTCCAACAATACTACCGTGTGACCTTGTTAATGCTTGATAACAAGCAATTATGGAATTCCCATTGCTTTTCTTCGGACGTATCACAAATCTTCAGCACCACAATGCATTCACAGTTTATGGTTTCAAGTGTCGTAAATCGATACGTCGAATTACAACAGCTGTTTACAGCCTTTATAAATACATCTCCGATGAACACAAACAAAATGGCGTCTTTGTTCAGATTCCGATTTGTCAACTCAAAACACTTTCGATTGCGAAATTATAACTGCCAATAATACTGTCTCTTAAAGAGGCATAACAATATTGTTAAAATTTGTGCCTTACAAACACAGTCCACAAATTATATATACACACAAAACACCTACTACGCTCAACCACAAACCCCTCGTCTGTCACCTTTGCTACATAACTGTAACTGCGTCATACCCATTGAATACACAAAACACTGGCTGACGTAAATCCAATAATCTTGTAGAATTTAGTCACATGACTGCAGTTGTCGAATCATGAGAAGTAAGTTTCGGTCGCTTTCGTGAATGTTCGGATTCTTTGTAGTAAATGAATAATTTTTTACGTAATTTCAAATAAAACATAGAGAAACTACAAATAAATATAATTTAGAATAAGTTTTCGTTTCCGTGTAAAACACTACTTCCATTAATAAGCAATTCGATATTTTTTGCTAGTGACTTACTACCCTGGGTGCGGTGCAAGATAACAGGCATCTAGCCCTGATTGGTTGCCTATTGTATGTGGGCGTGGTTAAATTTAGTTCGGTACGAGAGATCGTTTTGACGGCCACGGTCGTAGAGCCTTGGTTGTACTAGACCCGGGGGGAGTAAAGGGAACGTTGGAATGGGACAGCGGTAACGCAATCAGTAATACGTTTGAAGATTGGGAGAGGGGAAAGCTGAATCACTTGGCATAACTTAAAATGGAAGCTTGTTTCTGATGTCAGGACATAGAAGCTACCTGGAAGAAGTTTCTAGAGAACAAGTTATTTCAAATTTTCGAAACAAATAGTGTAAATATTTTTCATTAATGTGAGTTTGATCAACACTGTGTGAAACTTCAACGATTTCCCATCTTTTTTTTAATATATATATTCTCAGGTTAGTTGAAAGTGAGATTATGGACAAAGAATTGTAACTGTAAAAGGAAAATGCTTTCCAGCTTTCTGAGTGCTCGAAGTAGAAGTTTCAGTGGATCAATAGCTGCCACCATCACTAATGGTACTTGTAATTCTAACGAAGCTAGCCTAGGTCCAGACCAGAAGGGATCAAGATAGTAACGAGTACCGTTACCTAAAGGGCATGCTGGAATAAATATTTGTCTGTTTGTCGAAGTTCATTACTATTG